CGATGTGCAAGTGAACATTGCGGTCAGATGTTAGAACATGATTATCATGACTTTTTTGATTTAATGTGAGCCACTCACCACAAAAGGCACACATTACTGCACCTTTTTTCTTTAGGCCTCGTAGTGGGTGCATAGCAAGTGCGCTATTGTCCGTGGTTTAAAGCATGCTGCCCATTACTCAGAATGCAGCCGTGTGCGAAAACTTCACTGGCGCAAGCCATTTTGAACTAGGTACGCACTAGGATGATAATATTGCTATCGCCTTTAGCTCTCAAAAGCGAAGCTTAAGGGTCCCCCAATTTTTTAATTGATTGGTACTGCAACCACCATTACCCAGGCTGGGATACAATACATGGAAAATAGGTAATTATGTGGAACAAAATGTATGTATGTACTTACAGAGGTTAAAAAAATTGAAGACTTACAAACAGAATAATAAATACAAAAAAGAACTGGAAATACTACTCTGTTTTATATAAGAAAACATTTATCATACGGGTATCAGGTAGCTAAGGCCAAGGTTATTGTAAAGGTACAAGCGTAATCAGAATAGTTCTGGACAGTAAATTGAATGCATGAAAAGTGTACACTGCAAATCTCTTATGCAAGGGAACACGGGAGCACGTGGCCTGCACGCTTCGGCGGCTGCTGGCAGTGCGTTCAGCTGGAGCGAAAGCAATCACAGCCTTTTTTTACACCGTCTGGAGGAGAGTAAAACAATTGGTCACTGGTGATACCAATATGAAACCAGCTGCAAAACTGTAACCAATGGCTCGCCAATGGCTGCTTGTTTCGCTCGCTTTCAGATTACGCGAAAAGAGGCTGTGGTTGCTTTCGCTCCAGCCTGAATGCGCTGAGGGTTCCCTTTCATAAAAAGTGGCACTGTACATTGCTTGTGCTTCCAGGACTGCAACCTGGCCCATAGACAAGGAGGAGAGGTGTCCTAAGTACCCCCCCCCCCCCCCCCAAAAAAAAAAAGGAAAAATGGCAGAGGAGGATTTGCTTCTGGGTCTAATTGAAAACGAGTGTTTTTCAAAGCCTTCAGGGTGTATCTCCTTTCCTTCCCCCGAAAAAAAAAATTTTTTTGATACGGGTTTGACTGTATCTAAAGCATCAAGGAAAATCTTAATCCATTTTCAGATATGAAACTTATTCCAGAAAAATTTTAGGTGGTCTGAGGTCGTGGCACCCAAGCAACTTATGTCTGTTTGCAATAAAACGAAGAGAATTAATATATACTGACTACTTGCAGCGCTAAGAAACAAGGACAAATAAAACACTTGTGACACACTTGCATTTCAAGAGTTATTCTGGATGAGAGTCAACTTGCCTTCTTTTTTTTTTTGGCGTGTCAGTTTCAGGGTGTTCTAAATCAGCATGCATGTATCGATAGCAAGTAGTTATTGTTGAATGTGTCTGTTCTAGCTTCGAGACAAGTATTTGTATTCGTAAATGTGCACTCGGTAACTGCTCCAAAAGGGTTGTGCTGTTCTGAAGCGAGGTTTTAGCTACTTCGTATGGTGCTGCACCGAAATGGCTTCGGTCGATCACACCGCAGTATAGAGTGATTGTTATATGCCCGCGTTTCTTGGCCCATTGTCTTATTTGACCTTCCAAGAGCTACCCATCAGCGAAACTGTAGCACTTTGTTCATAGATGTTAAATGAGCGCACAAAATAGTGTCATACATTCGAATCCCGGCACAACGAAGTCCGCTTCAACGAAATTTCCGCCACAACGAAGGTTTTTTCATTCCCCGTCGATGTCCCATAGGGTATAATGCTTCGAAATTCCCTCCAATACGAACTACTTCACGGCAGCATTTCCACTTCAACGAAGTTTTTTGCGGGACAGGCACGAGCAAAATTATTCAAATTACAGCTTATTGAAATTCTCAAAAGTGTTTTAATGCCTTGACAAACCATGGCCCTTAATAACATTTAAAAAAAAACACACACACACACACAAGATGTTGCTCAGAGCGTGCATACTGGGCGCGACGGTGACTCGCTGCGCAATGTAAACAACACAAAGCCGCCATACATACCGCGATAGTGATGGCGATGCAATCAATGCAACTCGCTCTCATGTAGATTCAGAAGAAACGTCGGAAACGTTTTGAATCGTGTCTGTGTACAAACAACACGCAATAATTTGATTTTTATAGTATTTTTAATCATTTTTATAACGTTTGTGAGAATGGTTTCAATGTCAGGAATTTCCAATTTATGTGTACGTACGTACGTACAAAATAGGAGATGCGAGGCAAATCCCGGTAGAGTGCGACGATGCGTTCGGACGACGGCTTCCGCTTCCGGCGGCTTGACTAGGGCTAGCTTCTTCACAACGAGCGATCGCACGCTTTGGTCATTGTTTGATTGTTTCCCGAAGGTGCAGTAACGCGATCAACGATGGCGCAGCCGGCGAAAAAGCGCAAGTTTTTGTCGCTCGAAGACAAGGCTCGCATCATCGCACAGGCTGAAGCTGGAAAGAAGGCACTCATCGCTGAAGAGTTCGGGATTGCGGCGAGCTCTCTGTCAACTATATTGAAGAGCAAGGACGCGATAGGCAAAGCTCTAGCTTCAGGGACTTCCGCTAAGCATAAGAAGGTGACCCAGCCAGTGCACGAAGCCTTAGACAAGGCTGTTTACACCTGGTTCGTGGAGACGCGGGCCAAGAAAATTGCCCTTAGCGGCGATATTGTACGGCAGAAGGCGCTGGATTTTGCCTGCATGCTCGGCATTGATGATTTCAAGGCCAGCGTAGGTTGGCTAAACAGATTTAAATCCCGCCACAGCATCGTCGGCAAAGTGTTGTGTGGTGAAGCCGCTTCGGCAGATAAAGACGGCGCCGCCGCGTGGATGTCGGCCAGCCTTGGAAGCATCCTTAAGGACTGCGCATCATCGGACATATACAATGCCGATGAGACCGGTCTATTCTACGAAATGTTACCGAACAAGACCCTGGATTTTAAGGGGCTGCGCTGTCAAGGAGGTAAACACAGCAAGAAAAGGATCACCGTGCTACTGTGCGCCAATATGGACGAATCAGATCAGCGACCGCTTTTGGTCATTGACAAAAGCGCAAAACCGCGCTGCTTCAAAGGAAATCGGCGCCTTCCAGTGAAGTACGTGGCCAACAGCCGGGCGTGGATGACCCGTGCAATTTTTGGAGAGTGGGTCGAGGAATTCGACCGGGACATGGGCAGGCAAGGCCGCAAGGTTTGTCTGCTTTTAGACAATTGTTCCGCACATTCCATTGAGGACACGGAGCTCGAGAACGTGCAGCTCAAGTTTTTGCCACCGAACTGCACATCCATCATTCAACCCCTCGACCAAGGGGTCATCCAAAGCGTCAAGTGCGCGTACCGCAAGCGCCTTATCCAAAGGCTGATTTTGAACACTCGGTTGGGTCGCGAAACGAAAATCGACTTGTTCATGGCGCTCCAAATGATCGCTGCTTCGTGGTGCGAGACGGGGAGAGCCGTAGTCGCGAACTGCTTTCGCCATGCCGGATTCGCAGTACAGTGCGCCGAGACTTCCGATTCTGCGATTGAAGCTTACGATGGCGACGCAGACCGCGATGAGGACAGGTTGCTGGACCAGGACGAAGAAATCGCAGTCGCTTGGGCAGACCTGCAGGAAAGTGATGTGCCCGCCGACGTACATATCAGCGAGTTCTTGCAAGCCGACTCTTGCTTGGTGGTGCGCGAGGAAATGACGGACGCAGACATCATAAAGAGCGTCCAGGAAGATGGTGTTTCGTCGGACGATGATGACAAAATCGCGCAACGTGATCTCGCACTACCACCGACTTCACAGGTGCTGGACGCATTCGATATCATCAGGCGTTGCATCCGGTCGCAGGACGACGATGAAGCAATGGCTCTACTAGCAGCGTGCGAAAGTCGTGTTGTGCCATCGCTTGGCAAGAAGCGGAAACAGGCGAAGTTGAGCGATTTTTGGCATTAAAGCTTGTTCTTTTGCTTCAGCAAGTCTCGTGCCACGTATGTATTTCATCATATCGCGACAACGAATTTCCGCGATAACGAAATTTCGCGCCCGCCCCGTCAATTTCGTTGTAGCAGGATTCAACTGTATGACAAGAAAGGCATTGGGTGTTTGTACTTTGCTTGTTAATTGGCTGCTGACCCGCAGGTTGCGGGATTGAATCCCAGCCACAGCGGGATTCAATCTTGAAGCCAGTGTGCTTAGATTTAGGTGCACGTTGAAGAGCCCCACGTGGTCGAAATTTCTGGTGCCTTCTACTACAGCATCTCATAATCGTATGGTGGTGTTGGGATTTAAAACCCCAACAATTATTATTATTATTATTATTAATATTGGGGCCTGTTAAACAAACTTATCCTGCAGATGGGAGACATTGCTATGAACAGCTCGGCCTAATCTTGCAGTCCTACACTCATAGAGGTGGGAGAAAGAAAATGCACCTAAAGCGTGCAACAACCACTGCTACTTCACTCAATCTTGATGGATTCAAGAAATTTTAGCAGCAATCACTTTGTGTGGCATTTAGCTTCGGTACTGAGGTTATTTCATTACGTTCTTAGAAGGGTAATGCATGACTTCTTTAATGCTACGTTATGGGTATTCACAAAAGGCTATTTATTTGTTGAAAGTTACACTATTGCAGTTTACTACATTGCTAAACAGAGTTCAAAGTAGCCTCTGCATGGGACATATGTTCTTGAAACTTACGAAGTAGATGCCCATAGTAAAAAGACTTTGTGCATCAGGTAGAAAACTGCTATCGAGGTCGTCTTTTCAACATCTTACCTTCAAATGCTGTTATGTAAGGGTCTGAAGTATTGTGTGGTATAGAAGATATGTCACTCATTCGTGTGTTTTATGTGGAGCTTTTCACCGTGCTCTCCTTTGTTTAGATGTTGCTCGGGGGTTGAAGAAGGTCGGCCATTATCAGTCTGTATACAAGCCTACTGATACACTGTAGTTTGACAGCGTTGGGTACTGATTGTGCAGGTTCAGCTGTCCCTTGGCAGCAGCCCACCTACAACACTCAGTGGGTCCGGTACGACAGCAGGCTCCCAATTGGGCTCGCCCACATCTCTGCCGGAGGCGTTCACAGCACCAAGCTCTGGTGGGGAGGGCAGCAGCGGGGGCAGCCCTTCAGACGGTGGCTCCGGGGGCAGTGCAGCACTACCTCAGCTGAGCACGAAGTGCAGCCTTTGCCATGACACCTTCACCATCCCAAAGGTACACGTCGGACATATCGTGCCTGCAGTGTGCCCTTGTGTGTATGCGACTGGTTCAGTATTCAAGGCCTCGGTGCGCTGGTGTGCTTATAGCTAGGCATTTTGTTTGCGTAGTGTCTGCGTCTATCAGTGTAACCTTGCCCTTGCATAATTGGCGCATTGAGTACCAGTTGCAATGCTAAGCTTGAAGTGCCTGCACTGTTCCGGACGCATCGGTTCTCGGCGCATGCATTGAATTGTCATATAATCTTACTCTGGGTAAGGTAGATGTTAAGCCCCGCCGCAATGGTCTAGTGGCTAAGGTACTCGGCTGCTGACCCGCAGGTCGCGGGTTCGATTCCCGGCTGCGGCGGCTGCATTTCCGATGGAGGCGGAAATGTTGTAGGCCCGTGTGCTCAGATTTGGGCGCACGTTAAAGAACCCCAGGTGGTCGAAATTTCCGGAGCCCTCCACTACGGCGCCTCTCATAATCATATGGTTGTTTCGGGACGTTAAACACCACAAATCAATCAATCAAGGTAGATGTTAATGTACCATCGTAGTACACCTGCCAGTATTTTAGTGGGAATAGCACTAGTGTATCTGAACTACAACATTTAACGTCTTGGTTGCTCCAACATGTCCACTACAATATGCTCATTAAAAGGTGGCCCTCAGCTTGCAGAACTTCCATGTGGGCCGTGCTCATTTCTTATGTGCCTATGCAAAAACAAATTCGAGGCATAAGGCATAGGCAGCATGGGCACTCTGTTTGCATATTGTTGTATCTTGCGCATATTGGCACGTTGGTCTCTCTCTTACATGCATTACTCTAGAGTGCGTGTGTCATGACGGCTTCATTAACCCTTTCACACGCCACCCATGAAGAACTGTCTGTAAATTTGCCATATCACTGCAATGTTATTTCAAGGTTCTCAAAATTCTATGGCAACTAAAATATTGTCATTAAATATGAATTTTTGTATGTTATAGTAATGCTAATTAAGGTTAAATTAATATCTGTCTACTTGTCCTGAAGTTATTGCTGCTTGGTTACGGCATAAGCTGAATGAAATCTCAGGTTTCAAAAAAAATGTGCAAATTCGTTTTTGGTAATGTCTATTTTGAGGAAAGAAAAATTATAGTTCTCACTTGATTCGCGGAAAGAGGCACGTCGCTCGCCATGGTAGTGATTTTTGAAAAGTGACCATATGAGACTGCAAAATGAAGTAAGATGAAAGTAAGTTTATCAAGCAGGATGTTCAATTCACCCAAAGTACCGTATATCTTGCTCTTTCTTACCATCCAGTGAATACAAATAGCAAAACCGACTTGTGTACATAATTGTGTATTTAATATCTGAAAAGGTTAAACATAAAGTGCAATGCAGGATTGCGTCATGACAATGAAATTCTTGAAGTGAATGAAAGTGGCAAAGTGTGGCCTGGTTGATTACCTTGTGCAATCTTTCTTGTGTTGCTGCGTCTTTACTCTGCAGTGCTTTGCGATGCTGTGAAAGGTCAAGTGAACTTTTCTGCACTTAGCAAATCATGCAAGGTGTTCATGAACAGTTAACACCTCTAGAGCCCGTACCAATGTGTTAATCACTGCTTCGTTGCAGGTGTTGAACTGCTTGCACACCTTTTGTCAGCCATGCCTGGAGAAGGAGTGTACGGGGGACAAAGTTCGTTGTCCTCAGTGCAACCATGACACTCCCTTGCCACCAGGGGGCACAGCCGGCCTTCCTTCGGACTACGCAGTTTCGAATATCCTTGAAACTGCTGCCCTCGAAGGGGCCAGCCTTGGCTGTACAGGCTGCAAGGTGGGTAGACTGCCTGTTCATTCTGCTTACGGGACCACTCTTTCTGCAAGAATTCTGTTAACCTTTATGCAAGCTTTGCCCTGCTTTTGTAATTTAAGCTTTCAGTCTAGAAAGTAGTCAGTTTTCTTTATCGCCGTGCATGCCTATAATTGACCGAAATCTGTTAAAGAACCTAGCACATCTTGCCCTCAAATCTTCTCACATTTTGTGTGTTGGCTCTACAATCTTCTCACATTTTGTGTGTTGGTTCTACTGATGCCATAGCTGCGCCAATTGTGTCAAACTGCTCTAACTCGTGAAACATGCTACATACTGCTGCATCTTGGTAAAAATTTTATTACTTGCGCCAACCATGCGCCCAGACATCTCTCTTCCATTCTTTCAGTGAGAAACATCATGGCAGGTGCACGAAATTCGTAACATACCACTATAGTTTTGAGGGGTTGTCGCAGTAGGCAGGAAAGGGCTATGTAGTTTAAGCAGTTGCTGGACACAACCCTTCCAAACAATTTTGAATCACCCATAGTGCTAAACTTCATTATCAGCCTAAATACGCTCACCGCAGGTAAAAGGCCTCTCCCATATGAACATGCTAAACTTACTGCATTAGTTTTCTGTTACTGCTAGACTGAGTTTTATGAAATAGTTTTCTAAATTTTGGGGGATACTCAGAGAAAGGTAATAATGACCTAGTTGTTCTTAGATGGCAATCTTAGTTGACTGCTTGTATAGATTACAGTATTTGAATATATGTATGTAGAACCAGCTGTTTATTTAATTTTTATAAGCTGAAAGTGTTTTATGCCTGGAATGTACTTCTTTTATGGTTATGTTGATAAACTGGACGCGAGTGGACGAGAGGTGTCGCCCTTGTTACAACAATACAAGCTATAGCTGCTGAATCAGCGTGGTCTTGGTTTCGTAGAAAATATTGAAAGCTTCAAAGCACGACTAGAGCCAAGCCAAAGCCAGAACAAATGAACCAGAAATTGGAGTTGCAAGTCTCAGAGGCTATAGTTTAGGCCGCTACACAAACAGTGCAAAAAAGTTCGAGTTTCAAATCAGGCTAATATCCCTGTTACATGTGGCAACTTGAGTGCTTTTTGAGCAAGTGTACTTACGCTCGCGGATTGTCATTTTGGTGGTTCGCTGCTACACGTGAAAGTGAACTTCATAAATGACGGCAGTGGTGATTGACGAACTTGTAGCACAATGTATATTTATTTTTGCGCCTTTGTCTCATCGTCCGATCAAATTGTTTTCATGGAAGTAGCACCTGTGGCACACGTCATCTTAAATGACTAGATAACTCTTCACCTACACATGTGCAAGTGTGCCTAAAAGTAAACATGATGGACACAGCCATTGCACAGCATGTGCTGCCGCATCCCCCTAGTGAACGTTGCCGCAAACTTCCCGGCGGGGAGAGTAGCAAGGTCTTTTGTTATAATATGACTTGAATAATAGATATCAGTATTTCTCAAAACAGAAACAATGGTTTAAAAATAGTATGAGCGCAACTTTAGGCAACATCGTGTTTCTATGCAAACCACTGGTACTGAGGTTACACATTTCGTCACAGTGAAGTGAGGTTGGGGAACACACTTGCCAGGAAGTGTACTTTGCAGCGAGTGGCACTAAACTTTTTCGTGTGACAGCTTGCAAATGAGGCTTATGGTGAAGTGTACTTGTTCAAAGTGCACTTGAGTTGCCACGTGTGACAGGGGTATAAGCTTCACTGAAAGCGCAGTCTTTTTTTTTTCCCCGAGCTTGACTGGCTTGGTGGTGCACAGGCCACTTGCCCATTATGAGATACTTCTAGCACCAATCAAGTCCACCATTTGTTTTCAGTGCTTCGTAGTGGTATTGATGATGGTTCAGTACATTTTCGGGATCGTGTGATCGCCGTCGCTGCAGTTCACCACAGGCAGCTAGCAACAGTTAACAAGGGATGATAGGCTTGCTTTGCCGCCGCGCCGAAATCGCTGCACCTGCAGTAGGCTTATCACTGCTGTTTACCACCAGATGCCACACTGGGATGACCACAGACAATTGTTTACAATGCGTCATGGCTGCATTGTGATCATGTGATTGGTCTGATCGGCAGCATATCTGTCAATGTTCTCTGCCGGTTGCCAGCATCAGTACACAACAGATGCTGCCATTACCTATTGTTCACCACCACAGCTACGCCGTGACCACTGCGGACTAGGCTTACTGCTGCCTTCCTCTGGATTTGGCTGCCTCAGTATGGTGGAACGCTTCGTCGAGCGCCGTACTTGCCTGAGTGTGTCAAAAAAGCTCAACATTGTAGCAGAAATTACGGCTTGTCAAGAAAGACTGTTGGCGAGATATGCGCCCAGCGAAAGTAACTTTTGAAAGAAGCGCCAGAGCCAGCGTTTCGAAGCTGCACAAATCATCCCATCCTGCTGTGGAAGAGGCACTTCCTCTGTGGATACAGGAGGCACAGAGCCTGAACATCCGGCTCAACGGACCCTTAATTAAAAATAGAGCCAAGCAACATGCATTCGGTCTTGCCATTGAGTTTGAGGTCAGCCAAGGATGGTTTGACAGATTCAAGTGCCATCATAGCATCAGCTAGAAAGCTGTTTGTGATAAAATCTCATTTGGGAGTTGAACTGAACGTTGGCCCACACGTATTCATAATAATTATGACTGGCGCTTGGAGCGATGTCAAGTAAAGCATCGTCGTAAACTTCCCTTGCAGGCCAGGTGACCACTTCAGGTACGTCATGACCGCTGACAACGGTGTACGTTGCCTGAGTGAATTCTTCAGCATAAGCATCTCTGGGCGCCATCTCGGACAGTGAGCAATTTCATCGGTGTACAGGAGGGCGTAGCTGTTTCTGACTGGATCGATGCTGAGATCATGGCTTTTGTTGCCGGTGTTGCGAAAGTGTACCCGTGTGATTATGAATATGCTAATGGCTTCGCTGCCGCTGCTAACCAACCTTTTGTCGTGCTACAAAGCTTGCATGCTTGCATTGGTGTTATGTGTCAATCAATGCTATTGTGGCTGAAGGAGCTGAATTCGCTTATTTGAAAAGCTTCAATGATGTTGAAGATGACTGGAACTTGACGACGCGCTAAAAGCAAGACAAGTTTACGGTCTAGTTTCATGCGAAATATGGTGCGGGAACTTGCGGTTCACGCCTTGTTCTTCATCATATAGTGAGCAAGTTATGTTAGCGCTTGTAACGTTTTCCGAGGCCTGAAATGCTGCAATTTAGGCCTTAAATATGCATATTTTGTATTTTGAACAATTGATATATCAAACTGTTTGCGATCCCCTTTAAGTTCGATATATCCGGGATCGACTGTATATGCGAGCCCCCTGTTGATGGCCATTGAAGTAGCATGCGTTCCAGCACCTTTAGAAGCAAATCTCGCCCCTTTCTTGCATGTTTTCATGCTTGTTCTTGACGGGCAGGGTTTTTCCTCTCTGCTTCGACAGCAAGCCTCCCTAGCAGAGTGCCGTTACTGCATGCGCCCTCCTAATGGCTGAGATGGGCCAACTTGTATCTCTGCTTCAGCCGCATTCGTCGTCCCTCCCTGCTTGCGCGCATTTACCGGCCAGTAGTACTTACGATGGATGGAGGTATATTATCAATGTGGACAATATAACGGGACATGATGGCAACGGCAACTGCAAAAACCTGTCGAGTTTCCATATTGCTGTCACAATCATAAGGCTATTGCACGATATCACTTAGTGTTTCAAAAAATGCAGCATTGGACAAATGCTTCACATGTGCTGTTAAACAGGGCAAAATGAATGCTTTCTGACTGCTCCAAACTTGTTCGAAAATGCCTTTCTGGTTGCTCCAAGCATGCTCAAAAATGTCTGTCTGCTGCTCTAAGCATGCTGCAAAAGGCACTTGTGCCTGCTCCTACGACTGCTTCCAAACCCATGTACCATGTTCCACCTCTGCCCATTTTCAAGGTGGTTGCACAGCAGTAAACAAATGCTAAGCCGTGGAACACTCACCCAGCAGAAATCCGAATTCCACGAAGCCCCCTCTTCAAGGTTAAGTGAATGAACTACTCTCACATCGATTAATGATTTTTGAAGTTTAAAAGATTGTTATACAGGCTTATATGCTCAAACTAAATTATATTTTAAAATGTAACATATTTTGTAGGTTATCACATGTTTTCTCATAAAAGTCAAATCCTGCTATTATTTGAAGTTGTTTCTACTTTTTCTGGACCATAAAGAGAAAAGACATCGCACAGGCCATATTTCAGGTTTTAAATAATATTGTGAATATTTCTTAGGTCTTGACAAATATGCCCATTTTTTCCCTTTATAAATGTGATATATACACTTCATTCAAGACCTATCGGGAGGGGGCACTTTGAAAGCTGCACGCAGCGCCACTTGTGAGGCAATGGGCGTGCAACGTTTTAGTCTTAGCAGACAACAGTACCTCATCGCTTTGAAAGTTGTGGTGGCTCAGGCACCCATAATCGATGCATTAGTTCCTCGAGGAAAATTTAAAAGATATCATAGGGGGACATTTTTCTGCGATGCCACCATGAATAATAAATGGGAAAACCTGCACGAAAGCGGCCACGTTTTGCAGGTTAGTGAGCACCTTGCTGCCTGTAATCAGTACTGATGGCTAAATGCATGCGCCTGTTGTGCGTGATTGAAGATGCTTACTTCATAACTGTCGCAGTAAGCTGTCATTCTCTCACACTTGGAATATTTTTAGTCCATGCCATTACCCGCGTACTTCCAAAATACTAGGAGCATTTGGAAATGTTGATGGCTTCACGGCCGCTCGCCTAGAGTTAGTGTGGAGCGATGAGTTGATAATAGCTCAAAATTATAAATGTTTAGTGGCATAAAAAGTTCAATGACAATCCAAAACCACCGTATGATTATGAGACGCCGAAGTGGTGGACTCCAGAAATTTCAACTACCTCGCGCATTTCCGCTTCTGTCGGAAATGCGGTTGCCGCGGCCGGGATTCGATCCCGCGACCTGCGTGTAAGCAGCCAAGTGCGTTAGCCACGAGACCACGGTGGCGGGTGCAGCATAAGAAGTTTGTTCTAAATGAACTATATTTTACACACTGTAATAGCACAAGATGAGAACTTTGCAACTAATTACATATGTGAAATCGGCATAATAGCCTAGATATACGGCTAAAATTTTATTGTCCTGGGCTGCAGATAAACACTTTTTTTTTTTTCCGAATTGCATCTCTTCTTAAGTGCACGGCAAATCCCTAGAACTCCGCTCGCACTTGGTGAATTCTTAAAATTTTTGCGGCAGTCGATTTGTGAGGCAGTGAACTCTTAATGAAAATATCTGATGATTATTTGGGAAAATGTTGCAGGGCTCCTTTAAAGCAGGTGTTAGAGAATGTCTTAGCCCATGTAGGGGTGGCGATAGTGGGAAGCTTCTTGGCATGAAAGTTGAAGAGGTCGATACACTAGACAGGACGCTCTACGCACTAATTTCAGAATAGTACATGAATATTGGATGAAAGGGGACAAGAAGGGCAAACGTTCTTTCTGTCACTGACTATTCTTGGCTGAATCTATTGTGTGTCACTCACTGGCAGTAATGAATGATGACGCTTCCAAGACTGCCAATCGTGGATTTTTGTGCACATTTGATCTCTGAAAATGGATAAATTTGTGAATCCTTCAGGGCGCACCCTATTGTATAAATAGGGTTTAAATTTTGCTTGTATGGTGCTCTATATGTATGGCACGTAAAACTAAGCTTTCTAGAAACCTCGTTGCAGCAGGCCTTTCAACCAGCTGTGAGCTTATGCAGTGCTTGTCTACACTTTCGACCATCGCGTTTACTGCTTCGATCGTAACAGTCAGTGCCTCCTTGCTGTCTGACCGTTTCTGTCTGACCCATTTTTCTTTTTTTTTTTTTTAGGGCAAGGAGTCCAGCGCAGTTGCACGGTGCTTTGACTGTGCCAACTTCCTGTGTCCCAACTGCGTGATGGCCCATCAGTTCATGCACTGCTTCGAGGGCCACCGAGTACTGACACTAGGGGAGCTTCAGAGTGCGCGGGATGGGCTGCGAGCGCCACAGGACAAACCGGTTGCCTGCCTGCGCCATCGATCAGAAGCCCTGCGTTACTTCTGCCGCTCATGTGACACGCCCGTCTGCAAGGAATGTGCCTTGCTCGACCACCCAAAGGTTTGTCCAATTAAAATGACCAAGATTCTCACTGCTTTGATAGTTTAACCGAAAAATTGCCCAAGAGAAATGTGGGACTGTAATGGTCAAAATGCTGTGAGAAATACGGGTAATATGGCAAAAGTTAAAAGTACAAGCTGGTTAATTTGTAGCTTAGGTTTTTCAGTAAATGGAAGCAAGTAGCGTGGTCCAATTAAGCACCAAACTCCTTGCATTAATGGGAGACACCGGGATCAAATTGCGAAAGTAGCTTAAAAAACAATTTTTTAAAAACACTCATTTTGGCATCAGCAGTGTCTTACTTATGCATTGTGTGAACGATTATGCTGGAAATACTTTTTAGTGCCTGAAAATAAAAGTTTTGTTAGACCGGTGGATGAAAATGAAACTCAGTCGTGCTAGGACATCACAACGCAGTGCACCATATCCAGTCTTTCCTGCCACTGAGCACCACCACTAGCATGGTGTCGTTTCAAAGCTTGAAGTTCTGCCTTTCTACTCCCTCCCCTTTTGCTTACAATCACCGCATTTCCCAACACATGCTCTTGTGCCACTTAATTGAGACCAGAGCTAAGTGCACACATGTTCCTGGTCTCGTTTCATTTAGAAAAGTTCATAACATGAGAAAGTGTGTCTGCGGGATTGTTCAGTGTGACATCTCCATCAGCTTTGAACTGCTGAGAATGCGTCAACTCTGCTACGCCTGTGCGGTTTTATTGTACTTTAAAATTACCTTGAAACCCTGTGTATAGTCAGAGGTTGCTCAAGTTTTTGCGATGTATAGTTTCATCCCAGGACTATAAGCAGATCCTAAGAACTTTCAGCCAACACTTCAGTTTTGGTTTCGGTGTTGCGAAGCGCAATCATCATCATTAGGCCACTGCATTTGCTAACGTTAGAATTAGTTCTCCTTTTCAACGTCCACGATCATACACTATGTGAAGACTGCGAAAGCAATATCTGGCTACATCAAGGTCATCTCGGCTGCCGAAAACCATCAGCGACTGTGCTGCAGGGTGGCAGTTTGGCGTAGATAAGGGAAGCAGTCTTAGTTGGGGAAAGCCAAAGGAAGCCCTCTCTGTGGTCAGCGGCCTGAGAAGTTTCCGAAATAAACCTGTTGTACATGTGACTGCTCAAGGCTGACCTCGCTGCTGTCGTGTGCGAGGCCCACAAAAGAAGAAAGGACACAGTGATGCACTGATGTGTATTGGCAGTGTGTTTCTTTTACGTATAACTCATTCTTGCATTGCACAATTTAGTGCTGTGCATCGTCTTTGCCTGTCTTGGTTCACATTTGTACCCTAAATTTAGCGTTTAATTACGGGCCGTATTCTGAGAAAACGCTCTTGGCAACAGGGCTACTTTGTCTGCCATAGAATCCTCTTCCTGGAGCAATTAAAGCGATCACTGTATTCTACAATCAGCCAATTGGTGGCACACATTGAAAGGGATAGATGGGAATGGGTCATCCCATAGGTGGGAGATCAATGGGAGAGGAATAGATAGGATGGCGTCAGAATATGGCCTCAGCAGTCAGCTGAATCGAGCACCAGTAAGCGAACTGAGGTCATCCGCAAGACTTCGCTGGTTTTAAAGCTGCAGCATTGTTTTGCCTCCAGGTTGTCATCTGTCTACGATTCATGTAAATGAGGCCAGGATGAGAAGAATCTCTGATGTTAGGTCACATGACGTGCTGGTAGGCCCACTGAATCTGGACGCAGTCTGTCATCCGAATGTCTCTAGTTGCAACACTATTCAGACTGTTGCCTGCAGAAAGCTCTGAAAGTGCATACAGTGAAACTTTGAATATAGGCTCCCGAGTTACTTGATGATCCGGTTTTCGCAATCCGGTTTTCACGACCAATTTGTTTGGTCCCACTGAAATCCCCATATGGATAACGTATGGAAAACCTTGTTTATACGGCACAATTTTATGCCGACTCTGCATCTTGCAACGACTTTTCAATTCCGTCCAAATAAAAAAAAATCTTTACTCGCAGCAAGCGTTGACCAAATACTCACAAGTGTTAAATATGAATGTGCATGCCCCTCGATTGATTATTACGAAAGTAAAGGTTGAGACAGGATGTCTTATAATGAAAACTTTATTTTCCTGGTGGTTCATGCACTTCTGCATACGCTTTGATTGCTTGCGTACGCAGAATCGTTACCTAGAGAAGCTTCGTCCAGAGTAGCTTCAGCTAGCCGGAGAGCTCATTTCTGAGATGTTGATATTTTCATGTTTTCGTTCTGTGGAAACTTTTCCCGGTTGGCATACAGCTGATCTCCTGCTTTGTTTTGTGGCACTCGCAGTCAGAATCCTGAGCACGAAAAAGGCGCGATGCAGCTATTTTCACTGTACAAAATAACTTTCTTTTGAAAGAAACATTCCTTAAAACAGTGCAGTGATGGAAGTGCTGCTCCCATTGCTCCAAACTGCTCCAAAAGTGGAACGCTGCTCCATGCTGCTCCAAAGTGCAATATTTGCTAGTAACTGCACCATACCTGCTCCGAAGTGGTGTTGGCTAACTAAAAACAATGAGATTGAACCATGTGACCATTCAGTGAGCCTAAACGAAACCAAAAGCAAGCTGGACACACTATCATCTTAGTATGCTTCTCAGCAGAATGAAAAGAGAAAAAATCACAAGGGTTGACACAAATCGGGCTATGTTGGCCATTTAGAGTTTTAATATAGGTTGCCCTTTTATCTATATCAGAATCAAATAATTCTTTGAGATAAATTGAAAAAAAAAAAAAAAAAGACGAGCACGGGGTCCGCTCTTCAGCAATTGCATTGTTCTTGTTCATTCTTTTTTTAAACCTTTTTGCAATATCCTTTTTGCAATTCACACAGCTGAGCGGCATTTAACACAGGTATGCAGTAGCTGTGCTATTAAATAAGCTTTAAAAGTTGATTGTGCTATACTTAACACGTAACTTGATCATATCACAAGCTATAGCAGGTAAATCTCGAGGCGGATACTTGCAAGGGTCGTCCTCTTCAGCCTGAACAGAAGGGAAGTTCGGACCCCCCTGACACACCCCTATGATTTACGCTAATGATGTGAATCTGTCCTCTCAGTCTATCCCTCCCTGTTTCCGTATTTCACCTTGCGCTACAAAAATTCTTCCAAACGCATCGCCAACAAGCCCACATTGCAACTCTCAGCGACTGTACTGCTTGTGTTCTAGCTGCGTACTTGCATGCTGCATGTTTAACAATATTGCTACGTGCCAGTCTGCTTTCTTCTACGTCTCCATGCACTGGCACGTAGACACGCCATGCACCGTCTTTCTTGCGGACTAGCGCTACAGGAGAAGCCCAAGGACTGCAGGATGGCTCAATGATGTCCTTGGTGAGCATTTGTCGACGTCACTTTGGATAATGTGACGCTCGGCCGCCGACACCCAATATGCACGCCTATGAATAGGATGCGCATTACCAGTGTTTATGCGGTGGGTCATACCTGTAGCTTTCCCCAACGAACGGCCGCTGAGGTCAAAAACATCGATGTAGGACAGCAGAACCTGGTGGAGCTTGACAGTCTGCTGCGGCGTTAAGTTGGAAGCAATCATCGACGTAATAGCGCTGTGGGAGCAAGTGTCAGATTGATTTTGAGTGTGGGGGTCAGAAGGAGCAGCCATCGTGAAAACATCTACCGCATTGTCTTCTAAGGTGCAGAGCAACGCCAAAGAGATCCCTTGTGGCAGCACTTGAGGTGTCAAGCTAAAGTTGACAACTGGGAGACACGTGGAATTTCCTGCAATGGACAGAATAGAGTGCGGTAATGTAATGCCACGGTTTAAGAGGACATCGGTGATAGGGGTCAGAACATAGTCACCATCGGGAACTGGTGGTATTAGACGAGCTCTACGAAGGTTAGGGTCTGTGGAGGGAGGCGCGTATGTTCTGTTGTGCAGAGGTGGCTCGGCCGTTGTGCAAGAGGTTCTGTTGCGCGCAAGTGTAGACGGAGCGTACTGGTCGAACAGTCTATGAGGGCAGAATGCGCAAACAGGAATTTGAAGCCTAAGATTACGTCGTGGGGGTATTTATCAAGGACGGTGAAGAGAACTGCGTGTCGATCCACAATGCTTACACGAGCAGAGCACATTCCAATGATAAATGCTATTCCGCCATCCGCAACACGGACGAACTGAGTGGTCGCAGGTGGGAGAACCTTGTTGGGCTTGCGGCGAGAATCACTCGTCATCGCGGAAAGTTGAGCGCCAGTGTCGACAAGAGCAGTGACATGTATGCCATCTATTTGTACGTCTATCCGTATCGTCAAGAGCGGATTTTCTGTCAGTCCGAGCGATACAGCGCCATCTCCGGGGGCTGCAACACTTAGTTTTTCGTCGAAGAGCCTTGTGGGAAGGCAGGGAAAGACGGTCAGCGGGGCTGTGGAGAACGAGACTGGCGACGTTGGGGGTGTGGAGAGCGGTGTTCAGTAGCGGTGTTGAGTTGCAGGTTCCTGGGCAAAATGGTCGCGGCTGGTCTCATGGAGATTGTCAGGACGTGCATGAAAGTGACGAGAGGAGGCGGTGAAATAGTGAATTCCCAAGCTGGCGATTTCCTGCCGGACGACTGCTTGAATGAGGGGCAACGTAATATGAGGAGAGGGGTCAGGGGACGTTGGTCCCATCTTAACTGGAGCAGCCGCTTCAAGTTCTCGCTTGACGAGTCGCGTCAAGTTGTCACAGGTGTCTGGTGGATGATAATGTGTCGAGACACGAGGACATCGCAGCAGTGTTTGGAAGGCGCTGGAACTGATGGAAGATGCACCTGCGTTTAGCTTGTTGGAACCGGCGGCATTCTTAAATAATCGCATCAACAGACGACACATTGTTGAATACCAACAGGTTGAACAAATTGTCGGCGATACCCTTAAGAATATGTGCAACTTTGTCAGGCTCGGACATGTTTTCGTCAGCTTGGTGGTATAGTGAGAGGACAGCCTGAATGTAACTGATGTAGAACTCCGTGGAAGACTGTGCGC